ATTAGAATGCTATTTTTCAACCAAACCAACTGTTGAAAAATGTGTTCCATAAGATATGTTTTATTGATATAAAAACGTCTTTGATTCTCAACAAAGGTCTTTTTCTATTCGTTTATCTGTATTAATTATTTTATCATATTTACATCATTCTACAATACGTTTCTTACTAACTTCTTTGCTGAGAATTCTAAAAGTTTCAGAAAATATATATCGTAGTCAATGAAGCAAAAGTTGAAGTATAGTAAACACACTCAGATGCTTCATTAGAGTTAACAAAAGACTAAGCATAAATGGATAGAAGGAGAATCTGTATACCGACTATGCGTCCACTTTTATTGTACAGTAAGCAAATATCTTTCTTGGAATCGTTATAGTTTTTGGCATAGAAATTATTGATAAACTTGAAATAAAATATTGTCAAAATGATAAAGCAATTAGTATAGATAAACGAATAGAAAAAGACCTTTGTTGAGAATCAAAGACGTTTTTATATCAATAAAACATATCTTATGGAACACATTTTTCAACAGTTGGTTTGGTTGAAAAATAGCATTCTAATGTAGAACTTTGTCGACTTTTTTCCATGGCTTTCGGCAAGCTGATCGCTTAACTACAATGTACGACATAATTACCATGAAATTGTTTTATCAAAAAGAGATTTTTTTTCATTGTTTCGATTGGAGATATGCCACTAGTTCCATGAGACGGAAAAAGTTATGCAAAACAATTAGTAGAGCAAAACTATCTGAATTTGAATTAAGTAAATTTTTATATTGATACTTCCTCTAGAGTTGCGCTGGAGGGAGAAGAATAGGTTTCTCAGAATGGCATTTCAGAACAGTCTCTATATGATTTACAAGCTCAATTTTACGATAACGAAATATCTAGTGTGTTTTATCTGAATGTAATACATTCGTGGTATCTTGTCACATAAAATGATATAGTCATGTGAAAATCTACTGACTATAATATTGCATAAGTTGAGTGATTTATTGTCTCTGTTGACTTTGGTGTGTTCATCTCGTTTCTACATACATCTCTTGTTTCTTGTGCACCAGCTAGTCATGTACCTCTTACTAAATATACTTAAGAAAAAGCTAATTTTTTTCTTCTTTAAATGTTTAGAGCTTCCGTGAACTTTGAGTTTGTTTGTAGTAAGTCGGTCTATTCAATTGTTCCAACAACTAAATCTAAATATAATTGAATAGTTTATAATAAAGATCTTGTGGCAATTTGACGGTTATTGAGGAGGAGGAAAAAAAGATTCTGCTATCGAATGTTCCATCTTAAAACCTTGAATGTTTCTGTATGAATGAAATAGCTTGTCTTCTTTTGTCAAGTTATTTTCGGTCGGATGGTCTAAACGAATATTTCATTCAAGATAATTCAGATGAATCCATATTCTGATATCGTTGCAGTACACAATCAAGAATTTGCGAAAAGTTTAATATCAAGCTGAAAAGAAGAATACTGTTTGCTCGAGGAGAAAAAATTCTACACATCGATTATTGTTGGTTCTATTCAGTTAATTAAAAATGAATATGCGTAACTATAAACTATTGAGAGCTGTATTGCACTTATTAAAAGAATATATTGAAAACAAATTATTACCTGCACGAAAATTACAGCATTGGAATCTTTGTTTTTTGGTGGAATGTTCAGTGATCATAAATTTATTAGAACGTCTTATCCTTTGATAGTTGAATACATATATACATATTTGATAAAATATTGTTAAAACATATTGAAATACACAGAGCTAATGACTAACGCCTTTTCTTTTGTGAAAGGCAGTAAAAACAAACAATTATCATGATAGGTCCTAGGAAAGGAAGTAGAAGTTAATTTATTCGTCATTAGTTACCTTTCTACAGATGCCTCACCGTACTTCAATTAATCCTTCTTTTTTTAAATCAAGCCTACAAATGCATTACTGCAGTGTCTATGATGAGCTGAGTTGGACTCTGGCTACTCGTAACTTAAATATGCTTACACTGGAAAATTTTTAGCGTTAATATTTATAAGATAGTTTTCTGATGAGATAAACGGGTTTATAAACACCATAATAGTTCTCGAGACAATCGTGATGTCAAAAGTTACTCTTGCAAGAAACATATCTAGCATGATGTTTTATGAGTCAATATATTAAAAAACCAATGGATGACAGTCATCTTACGTATTGTGTTATTTTTTCTTATGGAAATGTGTTTGAAATAAAAATTGAACATATGACATACTTAAGTCTTTTCACGATAATTGGAAAAATGGTAGGATAATTCTACCATACGTTTTACAATTTATTTTCTTGCATTGAAAAAAAAACACAGAACTAGATAATAGTTTATATTGTCGAATGGCCAGACGAGTCGAAAATCATTTAAAGTTTTTAATTATGTGCATGTGATAAATAAATTCAGGTCAACTATGTATAAGTTCTTACATAAAAGAAAGTTATCTACTGTTTCCTAAGCACTTTGGAAAAGTAAGAATTTTTTTGGATGGTCAAATACACACAGAATTTCAGTGAAAAATTAACGTTTTTCTTTCACTAAAGCTAAGTCTTAATTACTTTTCTGTATTTTGGTGCTTAAAAATTCTGTAGTTTCTATTCAATGTGGTATAAAATAGGCAGACAGTCTAATACTTTATATATTCAGATAAAGCTTTCGGGAAATTTTTTGAAATGTAACAGTGTTCTCCATTCTAAGAATATGTTCGACTTTATCTTCCAATTGTTTCCACTATAAACTGGATTTTCGTCAAATTTAGAAAAATTGTTCAGTATTTTTGTCGCCAAGCTGGCGACAATTGTTTTTCAATGTTATTCTTCAGAGAGAAAAAGTGGTATCTATCGATAGAGTCAAGAAATACAAACTGTTGAGCCGAATATACTTTTTGCGGCTATTAGTTTTAGTAAAAAGGAGTTCAAACTTCCTATATTTTTATTATACGAAATTCTCTTAATTTCAGGTTTGCTAACCGCTTGAAACGATCATAGAACTTCATATTTTGTTCAAGTCCAACAGGAATTTTCACTTATTTTCTGGGCAGGAAGAAGCAAGACAAGAAAATTCTCTTTCACCATGTTCTAGTTATAAAACTCATAGTTGAGCTCAGTCCATCTATCAAAAACTCCTGGTGCCACATCTACAGATGCAGTATAAACAAGAGCTAATTAACGGGAAAATATGTTAATAAAATTCATTCGGTTAGAATACAACTAACTTCAATGTATTTCATATTTTAATTTCATATGAAACACCCTGGCAGCTTCTTTGGTATTGGATATGAAGCTGTAAAACTGAAAACTAACGTTTTTTTAATTGTCATTAAGATAAGTTATGCTTTTGTGATACTGTATTCTAGTGCCACAATCTTATTGCATGTTTGACTAAACATTTGATTGGACAAGCACGATAAACCAATAAATGTTATTTCTTTTTTATCCTTCTGTATCTTGCTAATTAGAGATATGTAGTTCAAGCAGTGTATAGAATTGGATTCGAACGACAATGCACTTTGTCGATCTGACATGATGAAATACACTTGAGCTCTTCCATACGCACATACTTGTGGAACGTATTCTCAACAAGGATGAAAGATAGAAAGGGTTTATGCTATGAACCATCTCGCTTTTCAATGAATTGTTGCATCTGTGGTGATGTTGCACGTGGTCTAAATTTCAGTGTTATTACCTGTATGTCTTGTAAATCTTTTTTTCGCAGAAATGCATGCAAAAAATCGGTGAGTTTAACCTATATTACAAAAAAAAACATTTATTTCAACTAAATTCAATAGCTTATGGCACGTTGCCAGTTTCAAAATGATTGCAATGTAACAAAAAAAACACGCAGCCATTGTTCACCTTGTCGTTTAAAGAAATGTTTAACGTTAGGAATGAATCCTACATTAATTCGAAATATTCCTGCTTCCAGTATTATCTCCAAGAAAAGCCAACAAGTACAAATCATAGAAGACAAAGAAATTCAGTTTCCAATAGTAAGATTATTTCTTGAATTTTCTTTGACAATAATGTGTTTACTTATTTTTTGTTTATTTCTGAATAGCCTTTACCACTTAGTCTTCTTCGCAATGAACATTCAACATTAACAACTAATGAATGGACTCTTCTTTCAAATTTTCTTCATGCATTTGATGAACAAAACCCTGCTACACGAATTCAAAATTCTCTTAATGAATTATGTTCATTACCACCCAAATTACGTTTGAAATCATCGGATACTTACAATATGGTTGGTCAGTTTTTTACAGGTGTTCAGTTACTTATTGAACATTCACCAGATTTATATTCTTTATCAATTGATGCTCGTAAAGCTCTTACTAAACATAATTTAAGTACTGTCGGTGCTTTTAATGGAATTTTTCTTTGTCGTGAACTTGATCTATTCAATAATCCAGTTTTTTTCAATGCCTGTAGTTTATATTATGGAACTGAATTTATTTGGAATTGCTCTCGAAATTCCACACGATGTGACCCAAATGGAAGTCTTATTAAAATGATGTTATTTGTCATGACTTTCTCCAGCAATTGTTCAATTGTTATATTTGATGATAAAGAACATATTACAACTATGTCAAAATCAATAGATCTTATTCGTATTCAAAATTTATACGTAACCGTCTTGTGGAAATATTTAGTTTATCTATATGGATTTAAAGAGGCAGTACGTCGATTTTCTTATCTTGTTAAAAACATCTTAGATGTAATTCATATGTTGGAATTAATGCCTAAAAATGAAACACATGATTTGATGGTTGATGCAATTGCAACAGAAACAGAACGTGTATTGGTCATAAAATACTAAATCAGATTTTCATTTAGGCTTTAAACAACTGTAGATATGTTGTATGTCTTATTGTTCGTATTATTTTACTGTATTTTTGTATATGAAAATCAAACGCCAATTATTTATTACAAAGTCAATGAAACTTTTCATGACTTTTCAAACAATTAAATGAAAAAGAATCAGTTCTTACTATTGAAAATAGAAGCTTTTAAAATAAAAAATCAACAAGAATCAATAAATAGAAAAAAAATATTGCACTTAACCTAAAAAATTATAATTGTGTTCAGAAATCTCCAGTTTAATAAAGTGTACAAAATAAATATAAGCTCTAAGTGATTCATTTTATGAGCGTTTAATTCTTTTACTAAATTAATAAAAACTGTTGGATTTCATTAATTTTCATTTCGATACAGAGCTACAGAATGAACAAACATATCTTTATTTGAATTGCAATCCACATCAACTATAACATTGATTAATATCAGTGGAAAAATAATTCGTAAATAATTATTCGTACTTGTGTAAAGTACGATTCGTCAAGGTGGAACTTTTTGAATTTATGCACGTTGTAGTTTTAATTTATAATATCTCTATGTATCATATTTATTGTTTTACTTAACGTGACTACTTGATGTAAAATGTTTTGGTTACATATTTACTAAGTATATCTTATCTGAAAAATATTTTGTTTTATTGCACATTGCATAGAGCGAAAGAGAAAGAACAAAACACATCAACGACATTTTTAAAATTAAATCTAATAAAGGATTTTTACATTTTTATTGAAAAAATAAATTAAGACATATTTAATCATTGTGGTTTGTTGATGAGAAAATTTTAATATGATGTGATTTATATTCTACGAGACAGACATTCATAAATATTCTATTATTGTTTAGCATTGCTCGAATATATCTCTCAGTGTGATATAATTAGACATACATTACACTTCATAAACTATGTGTAACTTTCTGTAGATATTACTGATGCTTGGATAAAGAAGTGAAGTCAGTTGTGCAATAGAATTTCGACGTGACAAATTTTGATAATAGATAGAACATTGCACGAGTTTATTTATCAGATGATCGATAGTATTAGTTCAAAGAGACTAATCGTATTCACTACATATAAGCGACATTTTATAATATTAATGTTGATTTCTTTACTATTTTCTTATCTTATCTTATCGCTTCTTATGACTCAATTGGCTCATGCATTTTCTTGCATTGTTTTTGTGTAAGATATGATTTACAAAGGTTATTTATATGCGAACCGATGTAGTTAATCTCATCTCAGACAACATTGTTAGTTGTTCAACTAACAATGACTCAGTTTGAATCACTTCCTAATGAATTAATTTATGTAATATTCAAGTATTTGAATGCCAGCGACATATTAAATGCACTATCAAATTTGAATTCACATTTTACTGCTTTACTTACTATTTATAACGATTACAAAGTTGATTTTCGATCTGTAAGCAAGGATCTTTATGATTTTGTTTGTTCCCAACTCGTTCCATCTCATGTTCAAATGCTTTATTTATCTAACAAGCGTAATACATATGGACAAATTCAGAATTTCTTCAACCGTTTCTCGTTAATTTCATTTAGTTCTCGACTTCGTTCCTTGTCTCTAAAATCCTGTTTAGAAAATGAATCCAAAGAGATTATTGATCACCTGCATTTATTAACAAAACTTACCGTATTATCGTTCGTAGCCAATGCTGGTGCAGATTTCAATACAGAATCACGTCGTCGACTTGTCAAAGCAATATCACAACTTCCACTTTTGCGAATTTGCACCATTAAACTCTATAGCGATGAACTTATTTTCGATGATATACCTGGACTTGTATTCCAATCATTGAAATACATTTGTCTTGGCATTTCATCTCTCGATCAGTTGGTATATTTATGTCGTTGTGCTCCGAATTTAAAGCGCTTAATTGTTGATGCTATAATTGATGAACCACTTAACATTGATGACTGTTCTTCATTGGCAAACTTAACGCATCTATCGATAAGAACAGAAGCAACTATGGAAGAATTCGAACGACTACTTTCAAAAGCACGATCATTAGTTTCTCTTTCACTTGTCTGTTCTAATTTTCAATGTCATGATGGAAATCGTTGGCAACAAATATTGTCAAAGCTTCATCTCTCAACATTGCGTTTTCTGTTCTTCACAGACCCAAGTCCAGCTATCAATTCAATTATAGATCCGTTTCGTGAGAAATTCTGGTTAGAACATGGCTGGCATATTCGTTATGAACAACAAAAAACAAACGGGTATAATAATTTATATACCATTCCATACCCGGACTTATCTTTCCTACTAGATTTAACTGATAATTTTACTGTTGCATCTACTACAACAGTAGATGCTATGAAAATCTTCGAACCAGTTAGTGAACTTGTTTATATTTCGTGTGAAACCGAAGTTCCTAGCAGCAAAAGTTATTTTTTTCCTCAGATTAGAACGTTGGTTCTTAAAACTGACACATTACCACCGTCTAGTATTGTTTCCTTCAAACATATTACAGAATTAAGATTATATACTGCATTAACGCAATACATGTTCAATGAAGTGTCAATGCCAGTTCTTACGCGACTAGTTCTACAAGTTTTACCCGCAACCTGGACAGTTCCATGTTTTAATGGACGAATACAGCATTTAAAACTTCGAACCGCTATAGGTCTTACTGAGGATGAAGTAGAAGCAATGTGTGCTTCGACGTCATTTGCTACTAATTGTAAGCATGTAAGTCTACCTATTCAATCAAAGCAAAGTGTACGCCTTCTGCTTAATCGATTAAGTTGCTTAGGAAGCGTCGATTTTTTGTTCTACGGAAAAGTTTCTTTAGCCGATCTGGCCATTACAGAAAATTGGATAAGAAATGAAACAAATCTTCGCAACTTTCTTCTTACCATTGACACACAAAAAGAACGATTGACTCTATGGATCGGCCGATCAAACGTTGTGGTTTGAAATACTCTCAATAAGGTTACTAATAACCAAGTTAACAAAATTTATTTATGTTCTTAGCACACTAAAATAAAATGTATTGCTAGTAATGATATCATAAGGCGATCTGTTAAACGTTCATTCACCATTTTATTTGGTTTATAAAGCTTAATATCATTGATTCACTTGAACATACCCAATTTGCTCATTTTTTTCTTGATCAGTTGTAGACAACTGTTCAATTAGTCCTTGTCCAAGAACACGTTGAGAACCCAATCGATGATCGAAACTGAACTGTCTCAAAGCAGTTTGATCAAGATAGTAATGACTCACTACAGCTAAATCTTAAGATCTTTCGGTATTGACCCCAAACAATAGGTCCTACTAATTGAAATGAAATGAAAAAGCAGTGATTAGTCGCTGTAGCAAAAATAATATCAGAAGAGCTGAAGAAGAGATCTGAATCACTATTCAGAGTTGGTTGCATATGTTACACAAGAATATGGTGAAAGTTCTCATGAAGCAATATATCGTAAAGCGCTATATGAACTACTTGCCGAAGTAGAAGATATCCACCCTGCCACCTCATAGTAGAAGCTTCAGGACTTCTATTGCGTCCAAACGATTTGATTTTTTCGAGCAGATCTTCTCTGTTGCTCTTAAATTAGTCTTGATCACACGCCGTCTACGTATCAAAGGCATTTCTTCAGGCGTCAAATACTCATGATTAAGAATAATTTTCATTTTTCATTGACGTCTGAGATCATCAGCACTATTTACTTTGTAACTATCACTTTGTCTGAGTACAGGTAGTTGAACATCGTCACAAATTAATCAATTCATATTTCTGCTTATAATATTATGATATAGTCTGAATGTGAATTGGTGAGTCTTTTCTTCGGTAACATCCACAACCAAGTCGTACTAGTAGCTCCTACCATCATAGAAGCGTCCAGAAAATTGTTGAATACTTGACATTTAGAAAAGACAGGGGCTTCTTTGTGCGACGAGGAGTTCACTTTATATTAGTGTGAGCACACAGAATGAAACTAACATTGAAAACAATGATTTGTCTCTGATTGCATAGCTATTTCATTGTTCGTTTTCATATTTAAAATTTAAGTACATAGATCACATTTTGGCTATTAATAAATTTAATTTTTCAAAGAAAAAAAGAATGCCTAAAAAACCATTTACTAATAAATTAAAAACCAAAATAAACATGATAGAGATACAATATGCCATTGAAGTCTATTATTTGTAATAGTATTAATGTGAAACGAATAATATTGCTTTCTATGTCTTCAGAATATTCAGCATTCGAATTTTCATTCATTTATTGATATGTATGGTGTCTGTTATAAACTGATTTTTGCTTTGCTTTTCTGGTGGTTCAAATAAAAGGATCATATTTCATAGGTTCTCTTAGATCATCGACATCTGTTGATGATTCAGGTAAGTTAGAACTACAAGATTGATTGCGAATGTTCTCCGATGGGATTATCTTGTTGTGAATATGTAACTATTCTTAATTTCAGTTATTCATAAAAATCGTACCGCATAAGTTGATCAATACTATAAAGATATTTCATTTATCCAAACTAAACATTTTGACTTTCACGAAATCAAGTAAATTATCGAATGATGATTGAAATCAAGTAAATGATATCATTATTTTTGTGAACTCTTTGTAAATATGATTTAAGATATGAAATCAAAGCAGATGTTCTAGAAATACCACCAGGTTGTCAACCAATTACAGGCACATGCGATATTAATTTGGTAGAAATAAGTGATCCTTCCAGATCATGTTTCGATCCACAACCTACCACTACTACAACAGCTACTACAAAGAAAAAAGATTCAAGAAAACATAAAGCTCACTCATAGTAATTATTTCCAATAGCTAATGACATATTTCATAGTTCTTGATCATTGCTATTAGGTTTTTTCTTAATAGTTACAACAGCAGCAATAAATTAAGTCATATAACATTCTATTGATATTAGGATGGGGTATAAAAGTTAAGGACAACTTTTATTTTCTGAATTATTTTATCAAAAATAATTTACTCAAAGCGCTCAAAAAGAAACTTCAGTAATTGTCGCAATGAGCTACCAAGATGAGATACGAATGTTGTTATAGGTTTAGTTATGTGAATATTTTTCATGTAAAGTGTTTTACTCCAGCAGACAATGATCTAGGATACTTCTAATGTTTCATGAATCTTTGACTATCAATTAAGTATTTTAAAATTCTTCTATACATTAATCAATAAAGTCTATATAGACATTTCAAATAAAATTTTCTTTTTGTCTTTTACTCTTTAGTGTCGGGGTCTTTTTGAAAAAATAAAGCTTTTTATATAAGTGAAAATAGATGTTTATTCAACCAAAAATTATTATCGAAAGTGTTTTAGGGTATGATAAGCTTTGAAACAATTAATTATGCATAATCAATTATGCAGACTATTTCCACATCTTTTTCATTGATTTGGTATATGTATCATCTCTGGATTTTGAGAAATACTCGAAATGACATGTATATATATATATACCACACCCAACACCAAAGAGTCAAGTAAGGAATAGAATAAAACATAATTTTAATTACAACAATAACTTCTTATTTGATCATGGCGAGTTACTGCATGTTTATTCTTTACCAATAAACTTTGATCTGAGCACCATAGTAATAGAAACATTGCAGCTACTGCTCTTGTTTGATAAGTACTCTTAAGAAGATTTGACGGTAAGGTATTTACTCGTCATCAGCTCTTATCTATTTTGTACACATAATTTATTAGTATTGATGTTCTCATTTTTATTTTATGTTAATCCTCTATGTAATAATTGTTGTGCATCGTCGTATAGAATTTTTTTCTTTCACACTCGACTTATCTCAACCAATAGTTTTTGGAAGTATGGCGTTTCTTGTCATAATATGATGGATTGATCGACTATATACATCATTTAGAATTATCATAGTTTTTAGATATTGATTACTAGAACACATTTTGACTTTAAATGTTGTTTTATTTGTACAATAATTTAATAAGTTCTTTTCTTTTAATTAGAAAAATTACGATTTAATTCGTATTAAAAAAACTGAAATACTTCACAATAGGCAAGTCACAGTGAAAACAAAAATGAATCATTTATTACAAATATTCTATAAAAAACAAAGTATTTCTCGAGAAAAATATGTACGAATTTCTGACGATGAAAAATCTAAGAAGCATATTACCGAATAGAACAGAGAGATGTCACGTAAAGGACAGCCGTTTATTGTATGCATTAGAACAAAAATATTGACCTTTGTGTTTTTCTTTTTGTGTTGCTTAGTTAGATAGGCATTACATAGGCAAGTACTCTTTATTTGCCTTTGCTTTTCTCTGTAAGAAACAATCAAGTATGAATTAACAACATCAGTTGAGTGGCAAATGCAAGAAGAAAAAGAAAAAGATATAAGAACGCGAAAGAAAAAGATTGGTTGATACTATTACTATCTGTAGATATGGACAAAAGATTAACTTGTGCTAGAGGACCATGATATGTCCTTTGCCTTAGTTGTAGTAACGAACGATAGTTTTTCCTTCTTTTTGATGATCAACAAGATTCGATATGTCTTGAAAGTGCTGGTAGATAAACAGAACGATAGAAAGAAAAAAAAAGGAAAGAAAGAAAGAAGAGAAAAAAGAAAGATCGCATTGGATGTATTGGCATTATCATAAAAAACACACAAGCACGTTTGTACACACGCCTATCGAATGTTGCTCTTACTAACGAACATTTATCATCGTCAATCTGGGTTCGCCACAATCGAAAATATCATCACCCATTTATCCTTCAACATCTCCTCACCAAAATCCAAGTTCAGCAATTGGTCTTTCAAATTCTCCTTATGATGTTGCTTCGTCTACTACTAATTTTCCAATACACTTATCACTTGAACCTTCCATTGACAATCGTATAATTAATTTTGAACAACAATTCGATATGAATTATGTTCCAATAAACCGAGGACAAGAGCAGTCTCCTTCATCTCCTGCTCCATTTCATAATTCTAGTACATTGTACATCAATCAAGAAAGGCCTGTTTTACATTTACCTAGACCGAGATTTAATGTAACAGTCAATGGTCGTCTTCATTCTCACTCTCATCATCAACAACAACATCCACATAGAGCACATGATTTTTCTCGAATTACTATTCGAACACCAAATATACGTTCACCTCGTACTAGAATACCATTTAGTCCTATTATGTCAACAGCTCGTATTGATGGCAATATTTTGTCTGGCGTGAATGATGTACAACGAAAATTAGCTGCACTTACATTACGCTTAGAGAAAGAACTTGAAACTGAAGCAACAATTGGTGAATATTATGGACAATGTACTAAATGTGGTCAATCTGTAACTGGTTCATCTGAAGCTTGTCAAGCTATGGGTGAACTTTATCATAATGATTGTTTTAAATGTGTCGTATGTTCTCGAGCATTACGAGGAAAAGCATTCTATCGTGTACATGATCAAGTCTATTGTGAAGAAGATTATTTGGTGAGAAATATATAAGAATTATTGATAGCAATTATTGCGACATTTAATGGTAATAACATTTTGCAATAATTATTTTGTTTCATTGTTTTAGTTTACTGGCTTTCAACAAACGGTAGAAAAATGCCGAATTTGTGATCATCTTATCATGGACAAGGTATTTTTGTATTTGTTTGAAAATGCTTTTATTTAATGAAGTTTCTTTTTCCCATTAAAGATGCTCCAAGCACTTGGTAATACTTATCATCCGGGATGTTTTCGTTGCTCAGCATGCAATGAATGTCTTGACGGTCTTCCATTTACTGTTGATAAGGAACGACGTTTGTTTTGCTTATACGATTACCATAAGTGAGATATTTCTTTTTCGTCCACATTCTTGTTCTTATGACCCTTTATTTCAGTACCTATGCTCCACGATGTGCCAAATGTGCTTATCCAATTTGTCCAGAAGAAGTAAGAAAATAAGCAGATTTGAAAAAAAAATTTTTTTTTTATATAATGAATAGGGTTCGGATGAAACAACTCGTGTGATTGCAATGAATAAAAATTTTCATGTTGAATGTTATCGATGCGAAGTAATGATTAATTTATATTTGTAATTATTTTAATACTAATTATTTTTCTAGGATTGCCAATCTAAATTAAGTGATGAACAAACGATAGCAGTATTGGGTGGTTGTTGTCCACTAGCAGATGGTACATTATTGTGTTATCGATGTCATATGCATCGTGGTGTTAACGATAACTAAATTATTGTTGCATATAAAATGCAAAAAAATGGCTAACTTTTTATACTGTTTTTATTATTCGATAAGAAACAAAAGACCAAACCAATTTTTAAAAAAGATTTATTGTATAAAGTAATTTTCGATCAAAAAACCATCAAGTATGGCATCATTCTCCATATTTGAATAATGATTTCTAAATGTGAACACGAATTCTTGTCTAAACTTTCAAATACACTGATTTCTCTATTAAACTGTATATTAATAATAAGAAAGAAAAAAAAACATATGCGAGCATCTCTAATTCATTATTTAGGAAGCATCTCAATGAAATTGTCAAAATGGACAGCAATCTATCATTACTCAAGTTGAGAATTATTGACATTTATTACTGAAAGATACTCATTAGTTTATTAAATAAACAATCAATCTTAATTTTTCTTAAATTACAGTTGCAATTAGTTTGATTGCTTCTTTTTCTCTTATAACATCAAGAATATTATAAACATTATATCATCATTGTTTGAAGAAAGAATTGAGAACTTTTATCATTAACTTAATAACTAACGACAGAACTTCTCCAGATGTCAAATTGCTTCTCGGCAGATACCATATTCATTTGATGAGTGATATAAAAGTCTAGAATGATTTGGTTTTCCAGGTCCTCGTTCCTCTGATATTGAAATTTTTGTATTGGGTTTTTCAACAAAAAGTTATCGTCACGTGAAAAATCGACTTTCTTGTTTCAACTTCAAACTTTGCACGAACAAAGTTCTCAATGAAGTGACTTTACTGAGCAAATTGTAACTTTTGTAATGTCTCCTATCCTGAGATATGAAATATTTGAAATTCTCTCATGTGTAAAAGAAAATTTTTTTTTGATAAATCTACATCTCCAGCAAAGAAAAACTATAAAAGATGAAACTTGTACAATCAATCAGTCTCATGAAGAACTTTGTTCGTGAAAAGTTAGAAGTAGAAACTCGAAAATCGATTTTCATGTAAACACATTTTGTTGTTAAAAATCTCAGCAAAATTTCGATATCGCAAGAACGAAGCCCGAAAAACCGAACCATTCTAGACTTTTTTATTACTTTTTAGCACTCATCAAAAGAGCAACTTCTCGGTCGAAAAGTGATTTAACATCTGGAGAAATTCCTTCGTAAATTTGAGAAAATAGTTTGATCATCTTTCACAATTAACACCAAGAAGTCTTCAAAGAAAGTATAGAAAAGATGCTAGTTTACATTGATTGAATGATCATTATCAATTTATTTCATTGCATTCAAAAATATCGACTAATTTCTTTATTTAACAGAAATTAACATAAAAATAAATGTAAAAAAATAATTAAACATAATGTATCATATCTTCCACAAATAGCTTGAATATAATATTATGCTGGATTCTCATCAAAGACATTTTCTCTCGATAATCTTTATCACAAGCAGAATAAGTGAAAACAAAAGAAAAGACTTCGAATGAAACCATAAACATATGCACACATTTACATAGAAAAGAAGAAAAAGCATGAGATAGAAAAATCGGCATCAATTGTTGCATTATTGTGCTGTAAACATTGAAATAAAAGAACATAAACAATAATATTGAAAAAAAAATACAAATATTATATACATATTTTTCTCGCACAATTTCATTGACTATTACTCTTTTCGTTTTTCGCTTTTAATATTATTTCGATTGAGAATATAATTGTTGAACAATAATTTCTTTTGGTGGTTCTATATTGAATGGTGATAATAATTCACATAATTCTTTATTATTTATTAATAAATGAATAAATTCTTTTGATGTTATTTTTATATCATCAATATCGTTGCCTTCATTAAGATGTTCAAGTGATATTTTTAATTCGTCAATAATACGTGTAGTATTTTCTGGATCATCTTTTGCATGAAGTCTCATTATAATCTATTTTACACATCGAAAACAAAACAAACTAGTTCTAAAAGTTAAAATATTAATAACATACTTTAACCATTCGATCGATTTCTTTTTTATTAATAACACCATCTTTATCATGATCATATGTTCGAAAAACATACTTGAGCTTTTCACGAGCACTACCCGTAGATGTTAAAGCAAAACCAATTAAAAATTCCCGTTGATCTATTTAGATACATCATTATTTCTTTGAAAAAACAAACAACTATAGTTCTTTAGTCTCAAATTCAGGTTAAGGAATGGTTTGTTTCACTATTTCTTCTGAAACAAATTTTTATTACATGACTACCATACTTGGATGTTGGGTAGAGAACACTGTAGACTATATAATGATACCATATTACTAACAGATCATGAGACTAAATTTAAGAAAAGATTAAGAGAAAATATGTGAGAAAAAATGGTGACATAAGCTTTTGAAATTTTTATATTTGACATAGGCGATGAGTATTTTGTTTAATGAAAGTTATTTAATATAATCGTCTTTTCTATATTAATATCAATATCTTCATCATTTTCTTTTTGTATCAATGTCTCCTTAATTCTTTGCATTTTTAATACAATGTTTAAGTTTGTTTGACAAAGAATTATCATTAATAAGTTATTCCAACATCTAAGAATGAGTATATTTCTTCTTCTGACTATTATCTCATCTGATAGTCATTATGCTCACCACTATCATCAGTGAACATTCAGTTTGTAAATCAATCTCCCGAATAAAAACAATTAATTAAATCGCTATTGATAAACGATAGCTACTGCGCATAAGCAAATCTTCAAACAAGAAAAATATAATAAATATGTCAGAGGGTTATTAAAAAAGATCGAGATAAGACAAGTGTCTCAGATGCATAAAATCAGTCATCACTTCTATTTGTTAGTAACTATTGCCTTTTAGAATAGGATTATGTGTAGTGGGTCGTGGTATTCATCTGACAATAGCCATAATACTTAATAAATATCTTTTATTGCACACAGAGAATAGAAAAAGAGCAAACAATATCAAAGCTAAAAATGAATCAAAATTTCAACCTGATTTTGAGATCAATGGACTAGAATAGAGAGTTTAACCTACCAACAATTCCATCATTGTTCGTGTCAAATGCTTTATGAATATCTGTTGCTAGTTTTTGGATTTGTTCTTCTTTGCCACTATTTATACTTCGTAAGAAATTTACTGTATCTGCTTTAGAAATTTTTCCATTTGGACAAGCAGCCTGAGATGAAACATAGATCAAGAAAAACTCTCCTAAATGCATAAAACTAACCTTAAGTTTTTCATACCAAATTTTCACACTTTCATGATCAATTTTAGCCTTAGTTGAAATAAATTCAATATCTTCTAGACTTAATTCCGCTGATGGTTGTGATGTATTTGAACCCATAAATAATATCCTCTTCCGAGATAAAAGTTTTTTATCGATAAAAAATTTCGAAAATAAAATAAAACAATAAAAAGCAATAAATAAAAAAATAATAAATAGATAAAAACGATCTGTAAATACAAAATAAAAATATTTCTTATTAAATAATCTTGACTTTTATTATGCAAAAATAATAATATTTGTATAAAATAGAACAATAAATTTACCGAAAAAAAAAAACAAATATCTTGATTTAAAAAAACAAACAAATGATGACAAGTATATTATTGTTCTCTCCAAGTACCTGTTTTTGGATTATAAAACAGATGGATTTCTTTTGACGAATCCTTAAAAGGAATTTTAATTGTATACATTGGTTCCTTGTAATGTTCTTGCCAATGTAATTCAACATAAACATTCATGTTATCATTTGGATTATTAACTTTTATTCTATGTTCAATTGGTTCTTCACCTTTAATCGTTTTCGAATCATATTTTGATTGAGTTTCTTCTAGTACTAATATTCTTATTGTTGAAAAAAGTGAATAAGCTATATCTTGATTAAGATCAAGACCCATTATTGATAAAGTTTGATTTTGAATTGTAATACGTATTCGTCGATGAAGTTCCCATTCTGGTATAGGAATATCTAATTTAGCCATTAATCCTCGTATTAAATCATCGCACAATGCATGTATATTTAATTTAGCTAAATTTGATAATGGAGTTAATTGTAAATTTCCAATAATTAATTTTTCACCATTTTCACCAACTCTTGCTGGAATATCAGCTGCTGGAGTTACACGTAATGATGAACCTAAGACAAGACAAACATCTGCACGTTGTGCATGATCAAAACTTGTTTCTAATTCATATTTAGGTAAACTTTCACCAAAATTAATAATGGAATCATAAAGTATTGAACCACATTTAGTACATTTTCGAGTTGTTGCATGATCATGAACGTTTTTAGCCGTACGTGTACGATAATCACGTAAATATTTTGTATGACATTTTTTACATGTTTCTAAATTTGAATTTCCATGTAATTCAGCTAATAATGTCGATGGTAAACCAGAACGTAAATGAAGACCATCAGTATTTTGTGAAACAACAAAATGAAGAAGATTACGACGAGCTAATTCAACAAGAGCCATATGTGTAACTGATGGAATAGCTTTTGTTGATGTTGTTGTACGAGTCGTTGGTGAACGTGTTGCACCGGGATGATCTCGAAGTTCCCATACACCAGGACCAGTTGGTAATATTGTATTCATGCTCGATCGAAAATCAGGAATACTAATTAAAACAACAGCACTCAATATTTTTCAAATACTTGAGAAATCAACTCACCCAGTTGATGTCGATATACCTGCACCTGCATCATATTTATATTCAAATCGATTATGGAAAAATTCTCATAATTAGCTAACCTGTAAATACAATAAAATGTTTAGCATTTCGAATCCAATCAGCTAACTGATCAAGTTTTTTATCAAGTATTTCTGGTGCATCGACATGTTCTTGTTTTGTTGGATCAGTATCTGAAATGCCGTGGGCCATTTTTATTTAAACAAAATCTAAAACCATCCTTAATATATATACATACAATAAAACATGAATCATCAATGACTCAAAATATCAATAAAGAAAACAGACATTTATGAGAAAAGTGCAACATAAATTACGTAATGAAAAAAGCAACAAGAAAAAACAAATTTTATGTTTATTGAAAAACCAAGGAAACCAAGGAGAGGAAAAGAATGTATAGAATAATCTGTTATCTGTCCTAAAACAAAAATGAATGTGACAGAAAGCAGTCAGATATGGACAAGATAACAATAATCGAAACGATACAAAAAAGTCTACACAATAGAAATGCAAAAAAAAAAATCACAATGTAGTTAGTCACGCCATGAGTCACACGAGGAAACAAACAACGAAATTTAAGAAATATTGCTAATGGACAAAAAAAGAATTTTCTGTACAAGTCTTTTTGTAAAACAAGCGTACGTTCTCTTAGATATAGAATAAATAAGATCAATAAATAAATGTGTCGGTGTATTGAAGTCGAAAACAAGAAAAAAAAGAAACAAAAATTTTTAGTTAAAATAAATTAAATGCATAACAAAAAAAAACAAATAAGGATGGAGTTCATTTAATTGTCCATATTATTATTATATGATGGATGTGCTGGTTCTATTTTAATAGTCTTAGATAATAAATTACTGTTGTTATTTGTAATCATCGATGGAATTGATGGTATGGAAGATGATGCTGTTACAGCAGTACTTGTTAATTGATGATTCATTGAATTAAATAAATCATCTAGCAATTGAAGTGCACGATGAATTTGAATTTCAATCCAACATGGAGTTTCTTTTATTGATTGTCTATCATAACAAGAAAAAAGATAATTAATATGATTCGACATGATAAAATCTCACCTTGGATAATCAGGTCCCCATCCTTTAACAAAACTAAGTCGTAATACACATAAACGTCGTAATTCGTCAACACTTAAATTAGCTGATAGTGGCATTGCTTGACCATGAGTTTGCTGTTGCATTCGTGCATGTAAAGCCATTTTTACATGTTGATCCATTTGAGAAAAACATTGATGTAAATCAAATACCTTAAAATTCAATTATGAATAAATGTAATTCAAAATATTTTTTTTCTATCTCATACACATACTTTAATGCACGCTTGAGGATAAATTTTATGAACAGCATCACCTGGTGCACGACCAGCTTCACGATCAAGATAATATGATTGAAGAAAAACTGCTTGTTCACTATTGCATCGTATCCATACATCACCTTCATTTCGACACTCAACACGAATACCTTTTCCAATATATAGTCTACATTCAAATTTCTTATTATTAATAAAAATGTTATTCAAAAGAAAGAAATATCATACCGTGCTTTTTCACTTGCTTCTGTACGATGAACATTACTTAGTGGACCTAAACAAAATCGATCACCAACCGTGGCCATATCCATTCCACCATCAACAGTCACTTCTTTAAATGTATCTGGCACTTTAAATGTTTCACCAACTTGTATATCACGTTCATAATATGCTATACTGCACCAATATTCACCAAAATTACTAATTAATGCTAATGGTTGAATAGGTGGTGCACTCAAACCATTAGTAGGAACAAGAGGATGAGGCTGCCCTGTAATTAATAATTCAAAATCACTTTACAGAAAGAAAACAATCAAAATCGAACACTTACATATACTAGCTGCAGCCGGTGATGGCTGTGCCCATAGAGGAACAGGTCCATCTTAACAAAACGAAAATAATTTCGTTAAAAAATTCTAATAATTATTTTACCTTGTGGAATCATTGCTGGTGGAAAACCATTTGTATTTGTAACAGCAGTTCCATTCGTAGTATATAGATGTGGAGGACTAGGACTAGTCGTATCGGGTGCTTGATGTTGAATAGCACCTAGAGGTTGTGGAGAATTTTGATCATCTCTATAATCTATAAAGATTTTTTTTTAGTTTGAAACAACGGATAAGAATAATATTCTTGATTACCTTTGATGAAACGATATCCATCTGATGTTGAATACATATCACGATCGTTTGATGATGATGGGTCACCATGACCAAGTAACTGAAAACGTGGTACAAGTGGCATTCCAGCTAAATCTTAAAATATAGATTCATCAGACTTTTAATTAAGAAATAATTAATTGATGAATTAATTACCAATTCCAGGAGAAACAACTCGTTCATAATGATATGGATTTACTAGAAAAGAAAAATTATATATAATAAAAATAAAACAAAGAATTATTGTAACTTACCACAAACATATTCTTGTTTAAGATCAAATGCTAGTGGGCAAGTTTTTAAATGCTTTAATTCATTTTTATGTAAATCAGGCCAACGCCATATACGAGCATATATTACATGTGGAAAGCCTTTACGACCAGCTACCTAAATTGCAAAGAAGAATGATTTTTTTCTTTTGTTCTATCAAAAAACAAAATACAGTATAAATATCAAACCTGTAATCTTCCATCGAGGGTTCGCTGAATAGTAACACATTTAGTTGGTATTTGTCCACCAGATGTAACTGCTGTCACTAACGCATCAAGTTCATCTTTTTTGTCTTTAAGTTTTTTTACCAAACTAAAGAAACATATTAATATTATTTTTATTAATTGATTTCTTTCCTTTTTTTTACCTTTCAATAGCTCGCTTCGAAAAGGTTTCACTTTCACCATTCGTTCGTTGTCGATGACATAAAAGATTGGCAACTATTCCATTACATGCATCCGATGATGGTCCACCACTATTTGATGACGAGGCACCATTCGATGTTGGACTATGAGAATGGACTGGAGGGGAACTTGACATCATATTTTTGCTGATGATAATGATGCACCAGTCGATATGGATGAATGAACAAGAACGTCCACTTTGTTACAATTGATCGATAGAGAAAAACTCAATTAGAGAATTAGACTTCAAATATAAGAGAAAATGATTTTGTAGAAATTCTTTTTTCGTTTCTACATCAACAATTCGACCGATAGGCGGAGAAAAAAATAGGGTAAACATAAATGGACACCATATGACATGTGCTTGTGCCTTCAATTAATTTTTTTCACCATGATTATAGTGACCTCTTTCATAGAATTCATCAAATTTATCTTACTGGATGTACAGATAATATATGTAAAGATTATCTATGTTTTTCTTGGATCCTTGAGAACAAATTGAGAAAGGAAAAAATCATGAAAAAAAAAAAGAAAACAATTTGTAAACAAACAGTCATCGAACGTTGTGTTGACAACCAATTCACAGTCAATGTAAAGTGAACTCATATCTTTTATATCTATATTTTCAGATCATTATTCATTCACTTTTTCTTTCATTAAATGACTCAAGCTGCATTATCGCTCGGCGGAGAACGTATTACAGGTAATTAATGTTTAGCTTTTAAAACAAAAAAGAAATGCTCTTTTTCTTTTGTTTTTGCTTTGATTTCTA